CTTTGGATTTACATTTCTGATCTGTTGCCTATAGGCTGAGACTCAGGTAAGTCATTTACTTTTCTGAGCTCCATTTACTTTTTTGTAAAGTGTGCTCAACATTAGAAGTGGGAGAGAAGAACACACCCAACTACGAGGGTGCTTTAGTTAGTGCTCTCACACACGAGGAACTCAGAACAACGGCTTTTCCTGGCAGGTAGTCCCTCTTGTTTGCTCGCTCTGACTTCCGGCTTCCAGCTTCCGGCCAGTAGATGTGCCCGGCGTCTTGGCTGTTGTTCTGGGCCCCAGCAGAGTGTGCCCTCCCTGCTTATCCAGTGACCTCAGCTCCCTCCCTGCCTTCCTCACCTTGTCCAGAGCCCACCAGGGTGACCCTGTTGCCTTTCGTGGCCCCTCAGAGGTGTTTAGAGAGCTGAATGGTGTGGGAGTTATGGGTATGGCTGCTGGAGTAAGACCTGCTGGATGTCAGTCCTGACTCAGAGCTGCCCTGGCTTGGTGTCCCTGTGCCTTACTTATCTCAGCTATAAAATAGGATGATTTTTTTTTTTTTTGAGAGGGTTTTTGCTATAGGGCGCGTGTGCTTGCCAGACAGACAGAGAGAGACAGAAAGCGAGAAATCACCCCCAGGGGGGATGGCCACACCACAATCCCTTTTCCTCCATTCTCCTCTCGGGATCTTGGACACACACACACACATGCGCCCGGCGTGAGTTTAAGCCACCGGGTCCGGGACTTGAACCGCGGTCGACTACATGGGAGTCCAGCGACATAGCCATTACGCTAACTGCTGGTCCCTAGGATGATGATATTAATAGTAACTGAGAACAGGTTTTAAGAAAATATGCATGAGTTAACGCATCACGTGCTGATGCCTGGCATGTTAGTAAGTAACCAAGAAGTGGTCATTATTTTCAGCCTGGGTCCTTTTTTCATTTTTTTTAGCATTTATTTATCCTTAAGAATTATTTACTTAGTTTTTAATTATCACTATTTTTTAACTTGCTACAGTACACATGAATTCACGAGAGAGAGAGGGGTAGAGATAGAAACAAAAAAGCGACAGAGAGAGAGAAACAGAAAGAGAGAAAGTGAGAAAACAGCTGCCAGAGCTAGGACTCAAACCCTGGTCGGCCATGTGGGAGTCCAGTGCCCCAACTGCCATGCCACCTGCTGACCCCAATATTATTATTTATTCATTTATTTCCTGTAATTTTCAAGATTCTAGGTCCGTGACTTGAACTGCGGTTGGCAATGTGGAAATCTAGGACCTTAACCACCACACCACCTGCTGGCCCTGGCCTGGGTCCTTCTTTAGCTCTTCAGACACCACCCAGAAGGCATCTTTGCCAAGTGCCTCTTATCCTCTCTCTTCTCTCATTCCCTTCTCACAGCCTCCCTGCCAGTCCAGAGCTCCATGGCACCTGGATGCCCAGAGCAGCAGCATCAGGTACACCCCTGCAGTTCCCTGGCTCCCCCTGGCAGTTCCCTGGCATACATTTAATATTGGACACTTTTGGGGTTGAGGGTTTTAGCTTCCAAGTGCCTCTTCATCTCTGGAGGCTGTGTGGATATGGGGACGAAGAGGAGAGAGGGTGTCTTGACTCTGGCCATGCTGCAGGAATTAAAGGAAGATTCACATAACCCTTCAGGCATGAAGAGCTCCAGAAGCAGAGAGACCTGAGCAGGAGGAAAGAAGGGACTCAGAAGGGAGAAGGAAACCAAGGAGATCCCAGGGAACTGAGCCGATGCCCTTCTGGCACCTGCTGTCAGTTCAGGGGAACACTGACAAGGTGATATTAGAGCAGATGCCTGCCTTGCCCTGGACCTCCAATAGATTCTGCAAAGTTCTTTCTGTACATCTCAATTTTGGTCTCGGTTTTGGTCTTGGAAGGGGTGGAAAGAGTCAGGAGTGCTGGTTTCTCCACCTTATTCACATCTCAGAGCAGGGTCCTTCACTCCTATGAGGTTCCTAAAGAAACATACAGGACACCCACACAGTCCTCTTACTCTAGTGAGCACTGTGGGGGGAAGGACAAGTGGCTATGGCAGGGCACCGGGTGGGGGCATTTTAGAGGGATGACTTAGTGGGCATCGTCTTGGGATTCTTGAAGGAAACAAAATGAAAACACAGCAGACACCATTAAATAGAACACAATTCGCTATTACATAAATTCTTTTAGGCCACAGATTATATTGAGTTCTTCCACACAGAATAGCTATGGGGGTGTGGGGGAGCAATGACACCACCCTGAGGGCCTAAAACGTGATGCTCCAGCCACCGATCCGCAAGCATGAAGGCAATCCCTGCAGTTAATGCTTTGCTGCAGAAATGTGATGTTGGACATGAGCTACATTCACAGATCAGGTACACCCACACCGCAGGCTTCCGAGGGGCCATGGTCTTTGGCCAAAGCATTTGAGATGTTCTGTTTCAGCCTGACCTTGGCAGGCCCACATCATGTGGGGCATCCCAGTGGGGAGAAATGACCCTTGGGGGATCTTTCTTCACAGCCCTTCCCTTATTTTCTCTGCTGAGAAACTCACTTGAGGGGGAAGGTAATGGGAGCAGGTCCTTCCAGAGATTGTAAAGTGAGTCCAGAACTTGTACACCTTCTAGAGTCACGAGCATCCCCTACTTCCTTCCACTAAGGAAGGATTGATAGTAGCAGCTGTGTGGGCTCTTCTCTTACAGCTCTGCTTAGAGTACAAGTTCCCAGGCAAAGAAAATGAGGCACAGGAGAGTTGACTGGGAGCCCATCCCTCTTGTTCCTGTATAAGAAAGCTCTCGAGGATGCATGAGTGATGTTATAGGGTTGACCTCTGATCTGTATTCATGTTAGAAGAAAGAGAAATGATCTGTAAGCCCTGTCTCTTGAGGCAGTAGACGAGGAATGCCTCAACGACATAGAACTTGCAACATCCCCACGGTTGGTCCTGACCCACCTGTGTCCAGGGGACCAGTGACTACCCTGGCATGGGTCTGAATGAAGGACATTGCCATCTTGGGTAAGCCTCAAAGGCCACGAGGTTCCCCAAACTCTGCCTACTTGGGAGGGTGTTACAAGTGTTCCTATGACACAAGTACTTGCCGACATGTATTTTCCCATGATGCAAAGGGAAGAAGGATGTGTTCTGACCTGCATATGGAATCACTGAGAAGGATGGAGATAACCAGAGTCCTGTTGGACAGAGAGGTTGCTATGATGACTGGAACCTCTCTTTGGAACCAGAAAGCTGAGGAGTAAAGGCATCAGATCAAGCTGAGGGTGATTCTGGTGTAGGACGGCTCTTCTCTCTCAACTCATCACTAGTGCTCTCCACAGGGCCTCTGACGAGGCCTTGGGCAGTATGGCTGGCTCTGTCACAGGTAGTCTTCTTGGCCTTTTACTCGAGAGCCTCTGGGTTGCTGCAGGAAGTTTTAGAAGCACTTACCTTGTGGGCATTTTCTTCTTCAAGGGCCCTTTGGAAGCCCATGTCCACTCTCTACCCTGGGAGGCTCTCAATGTGCCCTCAGGAGAAGCTACATTTAAGGCACCGATGGAAGCAGGTGGAAAACAAGCTCAGAGACAGAAGATGCAGAATGTCTGGGAGGTTAGTGGCCATGCAGTTTCCTAATTTATCATGCTCTCTCTTTCCCCTGAGCTTCTGCACACACGTGGCAGTTCCTACTGGCTGTGTTGCTTTTCCTTCCCTCTTTTGGTTAACTCTTATCTTTCTTTTCACTCTCAGCTTGGTCTCCAGGATCTCTCTGTCCTGGCCAAAGTCTGGAGTTCCCACAATGACCCACATTTCCCCCATCAGGAAGTTGGTGCAGGACATTTAATCTGCTGTTGATTTTGCTGTATCGCTCGCTTTGGAGAGCAAGAAGAGAGCAGGCACTGTGTCTGTCTTGCTAACCATTCTCCACCCCTCACCAACTCCACCACCCCATCCCAAGGTGGGCCAGAACAAAACACTCAATAAATATTTGCTTGTTTGGTGGGCAGGGTGGGGATAATAGAACTTGATCTTTTCTAAAGTGAATTCCATCTCTAGAAACCTACAAGCCTTTCAGATGTGGTGTTTGATCTTGGTTTTGATACCGATGGAGGTGAAGGAGAGAACAGAATCTGTCTGAAGCATTCCATCATGCTCTTTGAGAATTGAGGGGAGAAGTAGAGATGGTGGAAAAGAAGTTAGGGCAGCATGCATTTATCCTTGGCTAACTGCCAAGTTCAGAGAGAAAAAAATCATCAGTGAGAAAAAAATCAGAATCTCAAGAGGAAATGGTGAAACTCCTCAATCTACCCTGCTGTTTCTGATGTAAGTATCATATACAAGGGACTTCAAAAAGTTCATGGGAAAATAGAATTAAATATGAGTTTATTCTGGTGGAAAAATTAAAATCTATGCATAATTTTTTTATAATACATTATTTCACGAACTTTTTGAAGACCACTTTTATAACTGGGGATTAAACCTGGCTGGCTAACTTCTAGAGCCATGTCAAGGGGGTGTGTCATCATGGAAAGTGTCTTTCTAGGCTTCCCGTCTCTGTTCAGTCTTTGGAATGTTTGATTCTTGTGACTTGCCTGGTTTCTCGAAATGCAATCTTACATTTCCTGAGGGAGCTGGGGTTGTCAAACCCAGTAGTTCAGAACTCAACCTTTCCTTCTTTTTCTATAAAGAACCTGCGTTGGTCCATTTTGGTTCCAAAAAGATACAAATGTGGAATCCAGCTTAGGCACTCAGATATGTACACACAAGGTTCTCCTTGGGGTGTTGCCCACCCCTAAGGAATTTCCCAGAATGCATTGCACTTAACAGAGAACATTAGATGAATGACATCTGGCTTCAGGAGCAGAGGAGGAGAGCAATGAAAGGAGATGGCTTCAGCCAGGATGTAAGGAAAGCGTCAGTAACACAGAAGGACCAAGGAGAGTACAACCAGCAACGCTCCCAGGCTGCGTGGAGGGTGGGGCTCTGAACTCTGTCTTCCCCTCTGGGTCAGAAAGAGGCTTTGCCTAGATCAGTTTGATGTTGCCCTGACAGAGAAACTCGGGCTGTTGGATGTTGGTCATCAGATCTCCTCTTGGTTAAGGTGGCCGAGTGACAGGGAAGTCAGCATCAACGATTCAGGAAGAAGGACTTGAGGTTCTGGAAGAAACTTGACTTCTGTCTGTGTTTCTGTTTCTTTTTGATGATGGGCACCCACACCAGCCCACACACCAGCATCATGAGTCCCAGGGACAGAAAGGCAGGCCCTATCATCTTGAGGACGGTAAGGATCTTGGAATCCAGTGGCAAGGTGTAGGCCAGGCAGGTGATGACCACACCGAACAGCAGGATGGCTCCACCCACAGACATGATGACGATGGGCTTGCGGTAGATTTCCCAGTTACTCCTGGGGGTGGTGGTCCAGACAGACTCACTTCTGGAGCTGATGCACAGGGAGCTGGCTGTCTGGCTGGGCAGGAGGTCTTTGGATTCCGGAGACTTCTCCTCAATCTCCAGAGCCCTAGGAAGAGCCTCTATCGTCATGGTGGCTCAGGAATGGCACCTAGCACTGGCGACAGTCAGAAACAAGGGTGAAGCCAAAAGAATTCTCACACACCCTTCCTGCTCTCAGCATCTGTCTCCAGCCGGCTCTTAATGGAGGGTAATGCAGGGTTTTTGTGCTGCAGCCAAAAGAAATATCAGAAGAAATCCACATAAATAAGACATTCTCTTGTGAGAGATACATATTGCATCATTCTCAAAGATAACTTTTCATATTTAAAATAGGGTACAGTGATGTCATTTTAAAGATAAACAATGAGAGCTACAATGTCATGAGGGGCATCTTATTTTCAGACTTGACAATTTTCCATTTTTGAAAAAAAATTTTTCTAGAAACACTTTTTATTTTTAAGATTTTATGATAGGGTGTGTGCACTCACCAGAGAGAAAGAGGGGCAGAGAGAGAGAAGGAAAGTGAGAAAGCTCCCTCTAGGGAGGATGGCTACAATCCTCTTCCCCTCCATTGTTCTCTTGAGATTTTTGGGTACACCCGCACATATGCGCAATTTGTTTTTCATGTCATCTGGTCTAGGACTTGACCCATGTAATTCACCATGTGGGATCCAGTTGCCTTAACCACCATATCACTGGCTGTCCCAAGACTCAACTTCTCTCTCTCTATGTGATCTCGAGTAAGTTAAACTCTCTGTGCCTCAGTTTTCTAATCTATCAAACAAGGATAGGGACCAGCAGTTAGCGTAATGGCCATGTCACTGGACTCCCATGTAGTCAACCATGGTTCGAGTCCTAGACCTGGTGGCTTAAAACTCATGCCGGGCACATGTGTGTATGTGCCCAAGATCCGGAGAGGAGAATGGAGGAGAAGGGATTATGGTGTGGCCATACCTTCTGGGGGGTCACTTCTCTCTTTCTGTCTCTCTCTGTCTGTCTGGCAAGTGCACACATCCTATAGCAAAAACCTCTCCAAAACAAACAAACAAACAAACAAACAAACAAAAACAAGGATAATAATACTACTTCTCTCACAGGGCTTTCAAAAGGATTCAATGAGCTGGAGCGTGCAGTGCCTGGGAACAGTGCCTAGTGTATTGCAAGCATTGCACAGATGATACCATCCACCTATGAGACTAGAGACACTATACATAAAGGCGTGTGTATGTGTGTGTGTGTGTGTGTGTGTGCAGGCAAACGCTGCCTTCATCACACTGAAACCTCATAATAACCCTGTGAATTAGGCATTCATCTTATTTGACAAATGAGAAAGTTAAGGCTCAGAGAGGTGAAACAGCCTGTTGGAGATCTGAACCTGTCTGCTGTTGCTTGTAAAACTGTGTACAGGCCAGGCTGTGCGTAGGCTAGAGAACACCTTTTGGTGCAGTCTGGGATTGCACATGCTTTTCAGCACGAGACAGTGATGTCCTAGGTTCAGAGGTGTGATTGTCTCATGTCCAACTACCCCACTTCTCCCTCTCTGTGTGCTACATCAAGACAGAGTCCCACCCTCCCAGCTTTAGGTCTGTGAAGGCATCTTTCATTGAATAAGGGAGTGAATAACTCTCCCTCTCTCTCCTTTTCTTCACTCTCCTCTCCCTTCCACTGGGCACTAAGACAAACTGAGGACCCCGCGTGCTTATGCAAACCGGTTCTTCTACCTGGAGTCTGCATGCTCTCCCGCTCCTCTCCGCTTTCCTCTGGCAGTGCTCTCCCAACGCTCTGCTGGAAAGTCCTCCCCGAATCCACTGCCTTTGGACCTTGGCTTCTACTCTGGTTCCCTTCCACGTATCCTGAGCGTCTGCCCCTGGCTTCTTTTATGTTCCCCAGGTTACCTCAGGGCTCACTTGCCTTGCCATTTACAAACATCCCTTTTTTTTTTAAATGAATGAGTATGAGAGATTTCTTTCCTTTTTTTTTGAAAAATGATTTATTTAGTTATATTTATTATTATTATTGTAATTTGTTATAGGGCACGCAAGTTCACCAGAGAGAGACAGAGACAGAGAGAAAGGGAAAATTGAGAAAGCAAGTTGCCAGGTTTGGGACTCAAACTGTGGTCAGCCATGTGGGACCACGTGGCCCGGAGAGATTGTTTTCATAGCAAGACGTTTATTGGGGGAGATGGGTTATTTATTCCAGTCATAAAGAATCCCTCCCTACCCCGAATAGGATATAGCTAGAGGGCTAGATTCAGATCCCATATGGGGGATGCAGTACATTTTTGGAAATTGTGTTACCAGTCTCTGAGCCAAAAATAGTTTGTGAGGAAGGATACGGTGGGTGAGACTGGGAGAAAGAATATGGGGATGGAGGCTGGTGTCTCCCAGTTACTCATGCTCTAGAACCTGCTCCTTCCCTTTGTCTTCCTAAATTTCACTGAAAATGTTTTTAGTTTTATATTTCTTCTTTACTTTTTTCTTTCTTTTCAGTTTTAAAATTTTTCTTTACTTTTTTTTTTTTTTTTTAGAGAGATTTTTGCTATAGGGGGCATGTGCTCACCAGAGCAACAGAGAGGCAGAAAGTGAGAAATCACACACCCCACCCCACTCCCGGTGGGAGATGACCACATTGCAATCCCTTCTCCTCCATTTTCTTCTTAGGATTTGGGGCATGCACACACATGTACCTGGCATGAGTTTTAAGCTGCCAGGTCCAGGACTCAAACAGCGGTTGACTATATGGGAGTCCAGCGACATAACCCTTATGCCATCTCTGGTTCCTTTACTTTTTTTTTTTTTTTATAAACAGACAAATATTATTGACAAAGATACAAAAGTATTTACGAAAATACCAGCAACTGAATTCAAAATTAAACAACATGTATGAGGTCAGACTTATTTTGCTACAAAAGCTATACAAGGATATTATAAGAAATAAAACAATACGAAATACTACACATCAATATACCTGATGAACAAAGATGCACATTTTTTTTTTTTTAAGACAGAGTCTCACATGTTGCAATCCTCCTGCCTCAACTTCCCTCTGGGTCCCCTCCTAGGCCTGAATTTTTGGTTTGTTTGTTTGTTTTGTTACAGGGCACATGTGCTCACTGAAGAGAGATGAAGAGAAAAAGCACCTCCTGGAGCAGGGGGATGGCTGCACTGCAATTCCTTCTCCATTCTCCTTTTCGGATTTTGGGCACACACATGTGCGCAAGGTGTTCTTCAAGACGCTGGGTCTGGGGCAAACCGTGTAGTGGCCATGTGGGATCTTAACCACCATGCCATTGGCTGTCCTTCCCACTCTTTTTTAGACGTGGTCTCCCAATCTTGCCCAGGTCAGTCTTGAGCTCTCGACCCTCCTGTCTCAGCCTCCCTGAGTCCCTAGGGTCACAGTTGGATATCACCATGTCTGGACTTCAGGTTTTACAGGGAATCAAACCTGGGCCTCACAGGACCAGCAGTTAGCGTAATGGCTATGTCACTGAACTCCCATGTAGCTAACCACAGTTCTAGTCCCAGAACTGGTGGCTTAAACTCACACCGGGCATGTGTGCGTGCATGCCCAAGATTCTGAGAGAATGGGGGGGAAGGGATTGCAGCATGGCCATCCTCCCTGGGGGGGGATTTCTTGCTTTCTATCTCTTTGTCTCTGTCTGTCTTTCTGGCAAGCACACGTGCCCTATAGCAAAAACCTCTACAAACAAAACAAAACAAAACGAAAAACAAAAAACAAACAAACATTCAAACCCCTGGGCCTCCCATGTGTCCCCAGCCTGTGGAGCATAGCTCTCAACACTTGTCTTTCTAGGGAAGGGCCCCTGCCCCTTCCTCTTGACCAAGACACTTTGTATGAAAAGTGCCCTTTATTGAACGTGTTCTCCTTCAGTGCTCCGTGCAATGTTGATGTGATGTGAACTTAATGCCTTCAACCTCTCCTAACCCACCTCTAAAATTGAGGGTCCGAATCACGGGCTAGTGTTCCCACCCTCTTCACAGTACGGTACTCCCACTTTCCAGAATAAGCAGTTCTAGACCCTATGCTTTGACAGGGGGCAAATAGAAATTGCAGCATTACTAGCACTTTCAGAATTCAATATACACATTCATACCCTCATGTGCAAAGCGGGTATTTGGATTTGTGTTTTCGAAGGCTTTGAAAAGTTATTAGGATGTGCTTTTGTAACCATAGGCATGCAGGTGTTTGCTTTCCCTCAGGTCCTGTGGCGTATTTGCCTACGCTAAGTAGTCATTTAAAAACTGATCTTTCCCCTGTGGGCCGGGCATGGGGAGGGATCACAATGTGCACTTTGAAACCTAGTGGTGGTTGTTGCATGCAACCTGATTTCCATATGGATGTGTTTTGTCATCATCAGCAAGTTTTTATTTTTTTATTTTTTGTTACCTGATTTCCATATGGATGTGTTTTGTCATCGTCAGCAAGTTTTTTTTATTTTTTGTCATTGTTTGCAGTGAAGACCCAGGGTGGATGTGACTGCTGTATTCCCCATGCTGGAGAAGTCGTGGTAGAGATGCTGGAATGTAGTCATTCTCAGTTATGCCAGAGGAGAGAGAGAGCGAGGGCTGGCCAGGGAAGAGCTTGTTCCTATGAGCTGTGATCAGAGCGTGAGAGAGCATCATGGGCAGAAAATATCCAACTGGAGTGAGAACTATTACTCCAGGGATAATGGATTCCTGGGTACTGAGAGAGGGAGGTGAGACCAACGGGATCTTGTGGAAGCAGTAGCATATACTTACTGGCGCAGCAAGGGGGCTGTTTGTTTAGCTCCATTTTGCAAGGGCAGAGATGGAGGACTAGTGAGATTTAGTAACTGACATCACCCCACCGTTGTGTTGAGATTCAGGCTAAGGTCTTTGGAATCAAAGCTCCTAACACTATCTCACAGCTCACCTGGATGGGCCCTGAAAGTCCTCCAACTACAAGAATCCTGAGTTTTTCACCATGGGACTTCCTGTTGCATATAGTCCCCTCTCACTGAATATGCAATGGCTTAGATTCATAGTCTTCTAACACTGACCCACAGCAAATGTGAGGAATGAGAACACCGATCTACATTTTTCATAATGTTACAGTTG